GTTCTTTTACTAGAAGGCAATTGCGTTTGTCATTTTCAAGAACGAAGAATAGACCGCATTACGAGAAACAAAATGTCAGACCCAGTGTCATGGGCGAAGCCAATGATAACGTGCACGCATAAATTCCAGATTAATCTTTACAAAGTGGAACCAAACGTAAAATCACCGCAGCGGTTTCCTGCCGGTTTAAATAACATCAAATATAACTTTACACTGTATGGAGGAAAGACAGTTTCATGTACCATCTTAGTCTATGTTCGTTCTTGTAATTCCAGTGGTAAGTGTAATCCTAAGTTTATAGCACTTCTAGTGATGACGAATACTCGAATAGTGAAAGCAAAAGACCAGGACACAGCGAGAGATAAGTCGTCTGGATATCTTCATTGTTATCATTGGCCAGAAAAATGGTGGTAGCAGGGGTACCGTATCCAAATTCAATGAGATGAGGGAAATTGACCATTGTATTAATTCATTTTGTTTTTCCATAATTTTTTTTGCTCAGAAATTATACTTGATGAACTAAAATTTCACGAACCTTTTAGAGCATCACAAAGTTAGTAAAACCCTTTGCGTTTCGCTATTAAATTGTTAAAGGTATAGACATAGGAATTCAGAAAATTTACATACTTTTTTATTATTGGTCCAAAATTAATACCTTTCAGTTTCTCAAAAACAGTACCATGCAATGTTGCCTGCGGCGTACTTTTAACGCACGCCTAATTCTATTTAGCTTACAACATTTCTCAACGAAACATCAAAACCATATTTATGAATTTTGTGACGCTATTTCTACCTATATGACAAAATTATTTGTAAGATTAGCCTAGATCATAATATGATTCGATACACATTGGACTATCCACGCGATTAACAAGTTTTGTATTCAATGTTTAGAAAAAGAAGAAATAGCTGAGAGAAATGGCAATAAAAGAGGTAAACTGCAAAGATCATTATCACTTTCGAAAATATCTTTATTAATGTTACATTATACTATCAAGACGTTTGAATTGCAGACAAAACAATCAATGCTTCACAAGTTCGTAGTTTAGTTCGTATTGCGTACTTTTCAAGTTGTTTCCTTTCAGAATAAAACTTCTAATTACTAGTCGCATGCGATATATCATTTTATAGACGTTTACATAGACGCTATACGCTTTCAGCCAGCTTCCTGGGTTATACAGGGTGTATAAAAAAAAATGTCCCAAATGTAAAAATTCCGTTTTTCAGGATATTTTGCAGAATTTGGCAAATTTTTGTGTTCCTAGAGATAGTTAAGACTTATCTGGTATACCTAGGCCAAGTTTCGTTTTTCAGTAACAAAATTATGTTACCGGGGGGTGGTTCCTTTCCACTGGTGTTGAGAGGGCTTGCGCGCGAAAATGTGAAGCTGAAATTGAGATATTATTTAGCTGTCTAAAAGTACGAAAGCTTTTTAATAAACTGTCAAAGTTTCAGGAAAAATAATGCATACTGGGAGCAACGCGCGACCCCTAAAGGTGACAAATATTTCATTGCGCGCAGTGGATTTAATGCATCATTGATTTTAGCGTGACCGATCTCATACAAGTTGGGCAAATGAATAAATTAAAGCGAGAAACTGAACACAAAAACAAAGCGATTTATTCGTGATGTTAATCCTCAGCATGTCCACCATTTCATTCTAAGCAAACTGCGGCTTGTCTGAGCATACTAAACACTGCACAGCGAACTATTTGTCTGTCCATTCGCCTAGATTTGCCGGTGGTAGCGTAGGCGATTTGCAAGAAAGAATTTCGAACGAAATGGATAATTTGAGGCAGGACAGACAAATGTGGTTCGCCGTTCAGTGTTTACCATGCTCAGACGCCGCAGTTCGCTTAGAAAGAAATGGTGGAAATGTTGAGGATTAATCAGATAAAATCTTGTTATTAAATCGCTTCGTCTTCTTGTTCAGTTTCTCGCTTTAATTTATTCATTTGCACAACCTTGCATGAGATCGGTCACGCTAAAATCACCCATGCATTTAATCCACTGCGCGCAATGAAATATTTGTCACTTTTAGGGGTCGCGCGTTGCTCCCAGTTTGCATTATTTTTCCTGAAACTTTGACAGCTTATTAAAAAGCTTTCCTACTTTTAGACAGCTAAATAATATCTCAATTTCAGCTTCACATTTTCGCGCGCAAGCCCTCTCAATATCAGTGGAAAGGAACCACCCCCCCCGGTAACATAATTTTGTTACTGAAAAACTAAACTTGGCCTAGGTATACCAGATAAGTCTTAACTATCTCTAGGAACACAAAAATTTGCCAAATTCTGCAAAATATCCTGAAAAACGGAATTTTTACATTTGGGACATTTTTTTTTATACACCCTGTATAGCTATAGGCGTGAGCCTGGGAGACGGTAGTATAATTGAAAAAGTATTTTGTGTAAATTCTTCTTTCGTCTTCGTGTTACATAAAACATATACAATACAAAAAATATTCCACAATACAATACAAAAAATATCAGTATGTGATAATTTTTACAGAGGCGAAAACCAACATAATGTCAAAAGCCATGCAGACAAATTTTGGCCTCGAAGGACTTTAACTATAGTTTATTCGGTTTTGCATTGCGGGACTCCATCCTTTAGAAATTTCCCAAATTTCGTATGTTTTGCATTTCTTTGGGCATAAACTATAGCTTATTCATTTAAAAATATAGTAAACGAAAATAGTAATAAATATTATGGTCTCATTGGGACGTGTTTGTTTAATGCGTTATTAAAATGGTTTAATTAGTTTTCTGTCAATTTTGTCTCTTTTGAAAATGTGAGAACAAAGCGGTCGATGTGAGATGGCAGCTAGGTCCAAGTATAAATTTGGATGGTGTTTATCGTTGCTGTGAGTTGTAATATTTGTCAGTGGGACATTCTTGGAACTGACATTCGTGGAATTAATGAACAACAATCATATTTGGCATTATACTTTAGACTGGCACTGAACAGTTTTATTCTATTTTGTTCTAGACTGTAAAAAAGATATCCTTGTTCTCTGGGATATTTCGAATTATGTTAACTCTGCGTACATCGATGTTCTGAAAGAATTTCTGAAGAAATTTATCAAAAGTGAAAAGCTGCGCGTGGAAGAACAAGGCACTCATCTTGGTTTCGCTTCCTTCTCAAGCGACAACAGAACTAGAGAATTATTGGAGGTTGGCGAAATTAAGAACAAAACATTGTTGATGCAGTGGCTGGATAGAATTGACTTTGAAAATAATCCGAGCGTCAATACGGCGTTCAAAAATATGGCAAAAAATGTAAGTAGGCCTAAAATGTTTTATCATTAATGTAACATTTATACAAGTGTGTCTTCAATCTTTGCTCATATTCCATGGTGTTATTGAGAAAAGTTGTTAAACCGTGATATTACAAAGGACTCCACAATTACCAGGTGAGGTCGGCACGTGAAGACTGTAAAGCGTAAACAACCTAGATAAACCAACCCAGTCTATGATAATATAAACGGGAAATAATTTGGTTATTTTCATTTGTAATTTGCGTATCATTCTGCAGGTGATCTGAGAATGAAAATTAGCAAATCATAAGCCAGGACCTCAAAGAAAATCAGTTACCATTTCACATGATAGCCAGGGTTTCCAAAATGCAAGGGAATTTCCTTGCAATTGAAAACCACAAAGGAGGAAGGGATCTGTGTTAATACGATATAAAAATAAATGAATGCAGCACCCCTCTCCATTTTAAAGTTTTAACCAAGAAAATAATCTACTCTGACCTAGATTAGCTATAACTTATTGGACCAGGAACTGGTCCCTAACCGCTGCTAATCTTGTTGTTGTTGTTGTTGTTAGGGGGCGACGCTCTTTAAAAAAACCCTAAGGCTCTATCATTACTTGTTTGATCGGAATGAAACTTGGCACAATTATTCTAAGAAATATTCCGCATCGATTGACGGAGTTCGAATTTTTACTTTTGACTTTTGAAGCAAGTTACAAGCAATTCTTGACTATATGTGCAGCAAATAATATATGCATATCATTAATATTCAGCCTATATATAATTAATATTCAGCCTGTATATAAGAATACGCAAACGATTAGAAATACATTGTCCTCTCTATTGTTGTAAATACAATGCAGTTCAGAAACTGGGTCACGCAGTTCCTGGTCCACTATAGTACGATCATACTTGTTGAATGAGTCAATGGCAAAGCGTTGATAGACAACATCTTTATCACAAAGTTACAGACTCTCCGTAAAATCAATCATTTTTTTCCATTTTTGTGCTCTCAAAATGATGAAAAACGCGAAAACCTGAGGGTCTCGGGAACGTCACTCCCGGTCAAAAACAATGAAAAATATTAGGCCGCGTGAGTTAGGAGACTGAAACTGACGTACTATCTCGCTTCAATTTCCGCCATCTTTTGCTTCACTTTTTGCACCAAAAGTTCTTACTCCAGATATATATAATAATAATAATAATAATGATAATAATATAATAATAATTTAAATCTTATATAGCGCATCTTCTATAAATATCCAGAAGCGCTTTAATTACATTCAGGGGTAAAAATTACAATTTATGACTATTTACAATACTTAGATAAAATCTTATGTGACGCTCACTAAGGAAAACTCACTTTGCATTGACGTACTGATTGATGTCCTATGACTTTCATTTCAGAGTACTGAGAGTATAGACTAACAGCCTAACTGTGAAACGTCCAATTCCAGGTGCCCATTGGCACAAATATACAATTTATTTACTTAATTACTACATATTTTTCAACAATCAAACGATTATACAAGTTTAATATTCAATTTTTTCATAGCCGTTTAAAGAGACAAGTCCTAAAAATTTCCGTCCGGACGTAGAAGACGTTATTTTGTTGTTAACCAGCAGCGCACATGAATCTTCAGAAAATCGAACGACTGTCGATGAATACCACAATACTTAGAAGAAATTTCACTATTGTCCGCTGGCTGTCGGAATGGTCAAAAAGTTGAAACTATATATTAATGGCTGGTCGTCACCGGCGAATATTCGAATTAAAGTTGGACGAGTTGGACAAAGTTGTGAATGAAACAGTTGATGCTTCCTGCACTTTGCATGGTAAGTGTATGTGTGTCAAAAGGTATAATTTTAAAGCTTATAAGACTCGTTAATTCAAGCAATCTAAAAATAAACAATTCCCTTCCGTTTCCCAAAAAATTTTGCTCCTAATGCTGTGCAAATTTAGAGTAATCACCAATTCTTCTTTTAATTCAAAGGCGGATGTGAATGCAGAGATAGCGTTAACTATGAGTTTACGCATATGCTAAACCTAATGAAATCAAAGGGCTGGTTCATTGGTCGGTACCAGAAGTCACGTGCTCTGACTATGAGAGGGCCAAGTTCATCCACCTGACGTCAGGTCTCCTGCAAATTTCTCCCTTGGCAAGCACGTGATTACCTATCCCTACTCTACAAACGCAATAACAAGACTATAGAGTTCAAATGTTTTGTTAACTTAACTGTTATCGGTAAGTAATTGTTGCTCGGTCTGCAAATTCGCAATACAGCCGCTCTTGATCAAAAAATATTTTTAATCACTGTCAAGCCTTGTGGAGATTAATCCGCTATGGACCACGCAATTTTGTACGGTTTATCGCTTATTAATCCCCAAAACTTGATGTAAAATTACATAACGTAAGGAAAAACATTAACCCTGGTTCCCGCTGCTTAGTTACGAATTTGGAAGGTTAGGTGCAAGCTGTAGTCCAAGGTGGCCCGGGAACTAGGCAAGGCTGGAGGTGGCCTGGGAACTAGCAATTGTACTTGGATTAAGGAAAGATCCATGCCAATGGTATCTTGAACAGCCAACCAAGAGATGCTGCAAGCATCACGCATCAAAGTACCGAGCTAGCGAAGTGCGGGCAATGGACGCCGGCCCATAGGATGACCCTCATAGATTGACCAGGATAACGCGCTGACGTTGGATACGACCGACAAATCTTTCTTTCCGCGGAAACGCAAGATAGATTCGCTCAGATAATTCGCTGTCGTTGGATACGAACCGCAAACTGTACTATTCACGAAAACGCAAGATAGATTTGCTAAAATAATGCGCTGTCGTTGGTACGAACCACAAACCGTATTATCCGTGGAAACGGACGATAGATTTGCAATACCCGTTTCAACTCATTTGTCTTAAAATTGCTTATTATTCCAATGCAAAGCGCCATTATATCTAAAGCACCTCTTGCCGAATTCTTTTCTCGGCATTGGTAGATCTAAATCGGTATTCCTATTTCTGAGATTATAAGTAATAATTTTTTTATTGTTGCATCGAAGTTATTCATTTAGATTGGGAGCGGTGTGGCCAGAATTGTAATGAAAATGAATGGACTTAAGATTGTTTCTTCTTTCATCCAGAGATTTCCAATTTAGGTTCTCGAGTAATTCAAAAGACCGAGTATCGTAAGTTGCCCCAATAAACCCTTGCCCCGCATGATTCTGGTATTTTTGCAACTTATTTTTAAGACCACTAGCGCAATTATCCCATAGAGGACTGCAATAATCGAAATATCAATGGCAGTATTATAGCATTATATAACGTTTTGCTAATCGACAGTGGTACAAAAGGTTTCAGAGGAGATATTTTTCGATGTCGCGTAATATATGCTCAAAAGTCAAAACCTCAGTTATATATCTTCATGTAACACTAAAATTTTTAGCATTAAAAATGTTTTGCAAACCTGAAAAGCATCCACAAAGTATGTTTACTGTATAATCTCAAAATATTGTGAAAATGAAAAGATTTCTCGGGAAATATGCCGAGAAGAAAATGACGCTTGAATCGAAGCTTCTTTTGTATTCATTTCAGTTATAATGGCGTTGACATTATAACATTGTTCATAGCCGCCGCATTATATTTTGTAATAACTCCTTTGTTTGGTGTTTTGCATTCACCAAATACAGTTCAAAACTTAGTTCACAACATAATCTAAAGAATAATGGTAAAATAAATGGATTTTGACTGGTACGCCGAAAAGATTTTAGGTTTTGAGCGTTTTCTCGCCTAAATACGCGACATAATAAAAAATCTCCTCTTATTAATTCGTCTGATTGCACCAATGCCGGCACTAACAATGGAACAAATAGATTTGATATGTTTATCCCAGGACATCCTTTCATCCACGCTCACGCCGAGGCATGAATATTTATTGTCCTAGGTAATTGTTTATTATTAATTAAAAGAGGATTACTGCATACGTTTCATTGGGATGGATCTGAAGTTTGTTTTGTATCATCCATTTACGTTTATTTTCAAGATCACTATTTACCTTCGTAACCAGGGCCGGTTGTTCAAAAGCCGGTTAACGCTAACCCAGGGTTAAAAATGCCTAACCCAGGGTTAAAAATGCCTAACCCAGGGTTAAATTTTAAACCTTGGTTGATTTGCGTTGCACAAAGCTCGGCTAACGTTAACCCTAGGTTAAAATTGATAAAAAAATTAACCGTGCTAGCTAGGTGGGTTAACTTTTTAATCCTGGGTTAACTTCGATTCAAAATGGATGAATAAGGAGCTGAAACACATAAACACGGAAAATTCGTCATGAATTAAACACTTTTGAAAGGTTTTACGAATAATTTCGACAGCAAAGAATTATTTAAGTTTGACTTCGTTCGGTTTTAGCTGATGTATTGATTTATTTATCTTCGCTTCAATGCAACACACGATAAATGAATACAACCGTACGAATTGAAACATCGTAATCGAAATATTTGTTTCAGATGCCAAAATTCGATTCTTTTGATTGGCAAAAAGTGGTAAGGCTACGTTTGTTCCTGAATTTTGAATATTCAAAGAATGCCTGAAATTTTAAGATAGATTATAGATTGTTTATAATTTGCTTAATTTTATTTAACATCGACATTGTTTAGATATCGCGACCCTGCTCTCACGGCATATAATTTTTCGACTGACAAAAATTTTATCCTCGTCGGGTAAAGTTTTGACGCTCGTTTATTGACCAATCGAAAACGTTCTTATATCCAATTTAGTCCTTAAAATAAATTTAATCTTAGGTTAAATATTTTAACCCTGGGTTAACGAACCCTACTGCTAACTCTGCTTTGAAAAACACCATTTTAACCCAGGTTTAGCTAACCTAGGGTTAAGGATTTTAACTTAGGTTTAGCACTAACCCAGGGTTAAATTTAACCTGCTTTTGAACAACTGGCCCCAGATCGCAGCAGTCATTAAAGGGTGCAAAAATTTCGGTTTCATCAGCATGCATAAGGGGAAGGTGTTGTGTGAAAGTACTACCGCTTAAAGCCGTAACAAACGAAGGAGTATATAACGTATCTTGTTGAGCCAGAGACAAGTCATCTTGGTGCGATGGAAGTGGATGGGAAGCATCCCCCAACTGTTCTAAATGCGTCGTAGAGCGATGGGACGACGTGGACGTAAGGCTAGCGATTGCGCTCTGTAGCCCTAAGAAAACTCTGGCGACTGAAACTCTGAAAGGTAACGTTCCAGTTGGTGTTGGTCCCCGTGGAAGCTGGGGTAGAAGACTCTGCCAAAGACGCATCAGCCGTGTGTAAATCCACAAGGACGAAGTTTAGGTTCTTTCAATGTAAACCATTTAAAATTTTTGTTAGGCTTGTAACACTTTGCGTGCCGAGTAAATAATGACCGCAAAGGAAGTGAGAACGCAATATAACACGTGGGCTGACTTAGAACACCTCGACAGGAACACCTAACTTCCGGATCACGCGTGCTTTCCTCGCTATTAACTTTGGTTGATGAATAACCTCATTAAACTCGAGCCCGCAAGTCGCTGGTAATTAAGCCAGCAGTTACAGTAATGATTTCATTTCTTTAATATTTCGTAACCATTTCCGAAGTTTTCGATATCCTAATTGTACTTTCTTTAGTCTTTTTTTATAAACTTGAAAAATTCCCAATTGTTTATTTTGCAATTTAGCTTGTGATTGCCCATGCACACAAACAGTAAATTCTGAAGTTGGAGACAAGAAGATCTTAGTCAGTTGGACAGAACCTAAGCCTAGATGCCCGGCAACACCAAATCCCGCCAATCCGAAACTTATTGGCTTGTTTTCTATTGGTATTTACACGCTGTACTACTATTACACGTACAGCGACAAGTATGGAACATTTGGCATCCAATGTCATGTAATTGCTGTCACAGGTATGCTCTTCACTCTAATAATAATCCCAATTGTTTTACATTACTTAACTAAAACTTGTACTGAATGCTATAGGGTAACCTGTATTCAAATTTCGCATGGTTATAGCTAATTGAAAAAAAAAGTTGAATTCTATAAACCTCAAACGCTGAAACGTAAAACCCGAAATATAAGCGTGCACTGTGTACAAATGCTAAGCCTTAATTGTGTTGAACAGTGTCGGTATAATAGAGTTCGAATTAAATTTTTCTCTTGGAGACGTGCATTAAAAAACAATACAAACCTACGGGCCTGAGAAACGAAATCAGAAATTTTCGTTATATTAGTTTCACTTCACTATTAATTCCACTATTCAAAGCATCAGCATAAGCTTGACTTTAAATCTTCCAGCTTATATAACGCTGAGGTTACAAGGATCTTTAAGTAAAAATGGAACAGGACGTGTTGAAGTATTCTTCAATAGACAATGGGGAACAATTTGTGCTCATGGATGGGATTTAAGAGATGCTAGAGTTGTCTGTCGTCAACTTGGTTATAAAGATGCTGTTAGAGCTCCTTACGGAGCTCAGGTTCCCGATGGTTCTGGACAGATATGGTTAGACGAGGTTGGATGCAAAGGAATGGAGAAAAATTTGATAAGTTGTTCTCATAGAGGATGGGGAAAACATGATTGCACTCATTACGAAGACGCTGGAGTAGAATGTGTTTCAACAGGTAAAGATACAAAAAATAAACATCTTAAGGTTGCTCTCTGAGCATATATCCGAAAAAAACTTTAATGTTTTCCTATTTCTCATTTTAAAGTGATTTTTCCTGCTGTTCAGACATACTTTTTAAAAACTTGACCTAGTGAATCTTTAAAAATGGGTTGAATTAGCTGGACGACTTAACGACATTTATACCTGAGGTTCAACAGCGACTTTTAACTCGAATTTAATCTGAGCAATTGTCTTTGTAACTCTTTAATCAGGATTGTAAACTTTAATGCCGGTGATCACGCAAAGTACGAGTCAATGACTATAATTTCTATCGTAATGAAACATTTTGTATGAAGTTGAGTGTGTAGCTATTAGCTACAATTTTTGCTTGCTTACAGCAAAGAATATATAAGTTATCTAATTTTTGCCTTAATTGAAAATTTGCTAAATCGTTTCATTGTGAAAATAATACCAATTTTTAATTTTTTTTTCCTCTCACGGATGTCGCAAACTCACCTTTGGCGTCTCATTTTTTGTTAACAGAAAAACCCTACATGAAAAATTAACGTGGCGTAGTGAGTTTCGTTACAACGAATCTGCTCTTAGGAAGGAAAAACACAGTTATTATATAGAATGCAATTAAGAACATATGAAACAAAAGCTTTTTCGGAAAACACCCATGGTCTATATACAGCGAGTTCAAAAATGGTTTAATTCTATAAACCTTAAAGCCCGTTTACACTTGCAATTTTTGCTAAGATTTTATGTGCTATTTTCTTCCTTTGATAGATACAAATGAGTGAATTAGTTACTGATATTCAAATAAGAGAAATATAACTGTGCAAAGTATACAAGTGTCAATGGTTTAATTGGGTCTAACAGTGTCAGTATATAACGGAATCGATCTCGAATTGAATTTTTCATTTGGAGATATGCATTAAAAGAAAATGGAAACCTATAGGCTTGAAAAACGAAATGAGAAATTTTCGTGATATCAGTTTCACATAATCACTTTACTATTTATTCCACTATTCAAAGCATCAGCATAACTCACACAAGCTTTATTTAGATATTCCAGCTGATATAACGCTAAGGTTACAAGGATCTTCAAGTAAAAATGGAACTGGACGTGTTGAAGTGTTTTTCAAAGGAGAATGGGGAACAATTTGTGATTATGGATGGGATTTCAAAGATGCTAGAGTTGTGTGTCGTCAACTTGGTTATCAAGATGCTGTTAGAGCTCTTCAAGGAGGTCAGGTTCCTCATGGTTCTGGACGGATATGGTTAGCCGCGGTTGGATGCAAAGGAATGGAGCAAAATTTGATAAGTTGTGTTGTTCATAGAGGATGGGGAGATCATTATTGCATGCATACCGAAGACGCTGGATTAGAATGTGTTTCACCAGGTAAAGATACAAAAAAAAAAACATGTTAATGTGGCTCTCTGAGCATATATCTGAAAAACGCAAATTTTTACCTATTTCTGACTTAAAATGTGTTTTTTTTCCTCCTGTCCTGACACAATTTTTAAAAACTTCACCAGGTAAATCTTTGAATTTTGGTTGAATTAGGTGGACGTCTTTACAGCGTTTATACCTGAGGTGCAACAGCGTCCGTTAACTCGAACTTTGTCTGTGTGATTGTCTGTGTAACTGTATTATCAGGATTGTGAACTTCAATTACGGTGATCACGCAAAGTACGAGTCAATGACTATGATTTCTGTCGTAATCAAACATTTTGTATGAAGTTTGCGTTGTAGTAGCTACAATTTCTGCTTGCTTACAGCAAAGAATAAGTTATCTAATTTTTGGGATAATAGAAAATTTGTTAAATCTTTTCATTGGGAATATAATACCAGTTTTTTAATATTTTTTATTTGCCCTCACGAAATGTTGCAATTTTGCCTTTAGCGTCTCATCTTTTGTTAACAGAAGAACCCTACTGGAAGAATTCATGTCGCGTAGCGAGTTTCGTTACCACTAATGTGCTCTTAGGAAAGAAAAAATACGGTTATTATGTGGAATGCAATTAAAAACATATCCAACAAAACTTTTTTCGGTAACCCCGCATGGTCTATTAGCGAGGTTCAGATTTGGCTTCCACTACCACTACCGCTACCTCTCGCTAATCTATTAAGCTCGTGATTTGTTAGTCTGATCGACCTATCGCATTTGATTGGTTTATATTCCCTCAACGGTTGTGGTAGTCGTAGTGGTAGTCAAATCTGAACCTCGCTATTATCTATATTCAACCAGTTCAACGCCGTAACGTAAACCCCGAAATAGCTACAAGCTTGCAAAGTATACAATTACAAGTGTCAAGCTTTAATTGTGTTCAACAGTGTAGGTTTAATGGAACTGGAATTGATTTTTTCACTTGGAGATATGCAATGAAAACCAATAGAAACTTAATGGCTTATTTTCCTGATATTAGTTCACTTTACTATTATTTCCACTATTCAAAGCATCCACATAAGCGAGTTGATTTCGAATGAAATTATATAAGTTCAATTTGACATTAGAATGCGCATGGCTGAAAAATAGGATGAAGTCATAAAGATAATTTCGGCCCAGCAATAGCAATGCTGAATTGGCATAATAATATTGCAAAACGAGCAGTGATACGATATTTAAAGGCGCCATCTTGAAAAAATACGTTAAAAAAGACGTTACAAATATAGGGTGTATCTCGGGAATTCGTATCGGCCTCATGTAAACTTGTCGAAAATCTTTATCTTCATCCCACTCATGTGAACGGGGCCTTACATGTTTTACAGCTCACCCAGTGAGGACAAACACTTTCCTGAAGCCGTGCATGCACGACCTGTTTTTAAAATGATGTTTAAAAACATATATACACTCCATTAGCAAAGGTATTGTTTCCCAGGACATGTCTGGGGGGGACCCATACAAAAAAATCTCTAACAATGCGAGTGTGTAATATTAGAAGACATTTATACTGTAGATCACCGATAATTAATCAGCTAATTTTAAGAATTTTTTTTATCACTGCAGATATATCAAATGGTAGAGTGGAGGGGGGGGGGACATTATAAAAAAAAAAATTGCGTAATTGTAGGGGGTCTGCAGGATCTCGCACAGATAATTATTTGTATTTTTGAGTCCCTATGCGTTGATTTCCTACATTTTGGGCCACAGTTATTGATTAACCCATCTGAGAAGAGTGAGGTCTGTTGTGAAAATACCATTTATTACATCACATTTCTCATTTTATCACTGCACAAATTGGTTACCACTGCACACTAAAACAAGTATAAATTTAATGCGAGACATATTTTATTGCAGTATGCATATGTCCTTGGACCCAAATAGTGAAAGCAGAAGTACGAAAGGGTGAGACAAAGGTGTTGGTGAGTTGGTCGAAACCTGTTCCCTCTTGCCAGACCACAGCAAGCCCAGATAATCCCCAAACTACCTCTGGATGGTTCTGTGTTGGTGAACACACTCTAATATACAAGTATACGCGCAGTACCAGTTCATATATTACTGATATACTATGTCATGTGGAAATTCATGTCACAGGTAAATGCTTATTACATTGTCTGGGAATCTGGGAAGTGTTAGCCTCAACGTTAAAAAAACAGAATCTAAGTTTGATTAATTTAATGACTTCGATGAATCTAAGTTTGATTTATTTAATGACCTCGATGCACTTTATACAGTATCATCATTATATATCGTTACCTTTCAGGAAAGGATTGTGGTCGCACGGATTATAATCAAATCACTCATGTTTGCTGCTGTGGTGAAGTTCACAGGAAGAAATCTGACTTCAAATGCTGCGGTACAGAATACTACAATCCTAATAATAAGAAATGTTGCCGAGGAGGAATCGTTGTCATCTTTGGAGAACGTTGCCCTTAACGCTAATTGAGCGATCTAAATTCCATCAATTTAACCTTGCCTTTGTGCAATGTATGTTGTAGTGTTACAGTAGACTAGCTGGAGATAAGCAGAAATTGCTGCGAAACTTACTGATCTTTTCTTGCCTACATGTGATTATTAGGTAGCTTTTTAGTACATTTTCAGCTAGACTGAATAGACTTCGTCACTTATTAGGTTATTTTGTCTGAATGTTTTCATATAATTTACTTCTATATGGGAAGTGCTGTTGCCTTTCATATATCAACATCCAATTAGCTGTCGCTGTCAGAAAATAGACTTGGGTATCTCTCTCTGCATATTATAGAAAATACTCTGCGTATTTATGGGGTATTGGGCTCTTGCAAAGTTCACGAATCGTACTCCGCTATTTTGGGTGTCATGTTAGTATTTTATTGAGGCGATTACTGGTTTCTGTATTTTAATTGACACTTGCAAGATCTGAGGTCGTCGTTTAAACGCACTTTGGTCAGGTCTTCCGAAGTAATCATTAACCAGGCCTGGACCTGATCTGGAGCACGATTTTTGTAATGTGAATTGGTTTTACCTAGTCCTGATCTATTTTCAACTTAATATTATGATCTATTCTAGTATTAACACTTTTCAGTTTGTTTTATATTAGGTCATGTTCCATGTATTTTGTCAATTATATGTTGGGTATTCGATATCGTGAATGTGGCACATATTACTTAGACCTGTCCAAGACCTGGCCCAGGCCAGATCTAGGCTTCTAGTGTAAACGTGGCTTTTGTCACATGTCCAGACCCTGGCTCAGTAAAGTTCGTAGTGTTAACAAGGTTTGACTGAAAGTTCGCACTTACATAATTACCAGTTGATGCGTAAACATAATTGAATAGACCTTTCTTATGATGACGTCAAACGCGGAAAGTTTGATGTTACACGAAATTTAATTGGCCCCACAAAACTATCGAGCCAATCAAACTTCGTGTAACATCATATTTTCCGCCTTTGACGTCATCATGAAAAAGGTCTATTAGGCAATGATAAGTGAATTAGACAAATTAGACAATTTTGCTTACCAACGCCATCTGGTGTTTTAAACGATCTTACAATTTCGGATATTTCAAAACAGGGCCCTTTGAAAATTTACAAAGTGATCTTTGGTTAGCTCTATATGTTAATTTGCCACATATTGCCATGTTTATGTATTTGCATGCAAATTTAATTTAGCGTCGCATTGTAACTCTTGATTTCAAAGTTAAGTCACCATTGCAGTTAGTTTAAGTTTTCGTTTAAAAGATGTAAAGTACCTTAATTAGAATATAAATATATGTGTATTTCAAAAGTTTAATTGCATTCTTATTAATTTTTAAGCCTGGTTCTTATATGTCACAGACAGTTGGTGACGTAGCTATCGTTCGTTCAAAAAGCATCTGGTGATTGAAGATTAACTATATACCCTAAAATTACATGCCGGGGACCCGTGTTAATCAAGGAATTTAGAAAACTCAACGTTATATGCACATTCTGCCACTGAACTATATCCACAGTGTAATTTAAGGGATGTGAAAATGGAAGCTTAAGTAAAGCGTTCCATTCAATTCGTCAGCAAAGATGGCAAGATGACATTATTAATTAAAAGAAATTTTACATCATGCTTCATCAATATTATGAGGTTACACATACATAACACGCTAAACACTCAACCAAAAAAAATTCACACAACCAAACAAAGTATACATGCATGGAACATATTCACTTACCAGAAACATCTATTAAAATCTATTATCGTTCCATTCAATTCGCCATCAATGATGGAAAGATGACATTATGAATTAAGAAAAATTTTACATCATGCTTCATCAATATATATCACTTAAATTCCTCATGTCGTATACAAAAGAAGAATATACCCTCGTAAATCATAACACATCAACTTCTATTAGTGTAATACCTTCTGTTGAAATTGACCCTGCTCTATCTAGCTAAGACTTAAAGAGGGGCATGCATGCAGATAACGTATATCACTAATTCTGACAACAATTATTTTAAAGAAACGAACCAGTTGTACTGAAGGCGAAACTGTTTTGAACAAACAGCATCAAAAAGGCAAACCATTTCAGCTTCATCTTCTTTGTTTTGAACATTCTTATCGTTTATTCAATTTTTAATTTGTATATATGTGCTATAAGCTTTGTCTTGCAAATTTGCACGTCCCTTCTTTGACAAGGAAATTTACTAAGGCGGGTTGCGGAATTACACACTTGATTTAATTATGCGGAAAACCGTCCGACTGAATTATCAAAATTGTGGACGTGATGCCACGACGATAATTTCATTTCTGACGAAATTGAACAGTTCCGGGTCCCCAAAATATATTCCGAGGATATAGGTGAAAGTTTAATGAAGCAGGAACTAAACGGTATCTATTTTTTTCCTTATTGGACACATCCTAAACAAACCATCATTGCTTTTATGAATATCATATGAATAACAAAACTAGGCGCACAGGACGCGATTTTTTTTGGTACGATTTTAATCACCAAATTTCAAACAGTTTTGCCATATATTTTGATTGCAGTTAGTCGATTAAAATCGCCTAAAAATAATTGCACACCCAAGGATTTAGTCGAATGCTCAAATATATATCACTAAATCTATATTTTTATGAATTAGTTTAGTACCCAAAGATAAATATATAGGGAACCATTTCAAACTGATAATTTCACCAGATATAAGATAAAGATTATTTGTAGTCGTAGATTAATTGTGTTCATCAAAAATTTAAACAAATAAACAATCAAATTTAAACTCTATATTCTGATTCAATTCTGAATCATTTTGTGATTTTTTTATTCTCCTGAATATGACTAAGTTTTGAATCGAAATTTTTGATTGGCACAATGAATCTATTCGGAATAACCTTTATCCTAAAATTAAGGCATATAGCCTAATATAAATTAATGTGGTTTAAACTACATTAGCCCATCTTAAACGCATGCAGCTATTCACCTGTTTTCGATACAATTATAGCTAAAAAGGAAGCACTGAATAGCGTGTTTTATTTCATGTAAAATTTAGTCAATGTGTATAACGATTAAAAGTAAGTCATTCAAGCAAATAGATCATTTAAGAATTCAGTCATTCATAATTTCGTGCAGTAAAATTAATCTTATTAGCTAGGTAGATAATATATCATTATCTTTGCAGCCAATTTTGAACAACGGTCTCACTTTATAGGGCGGCGACATATTACATTCTTTCTTGCATATTTTTGTGGCAATCTTTTATCGGCACTGTTTTTTTTTTCAAACAAGCCGGTTGCTATAAAACAATACTCGATCGATTTTGATATTACGCTGCTCGCGTGCTTACTAAGAAAACCTCAAAAGCGCGGATATCGTCACACTTCCGCTAATCAAGATAATTATGTGTTTGGCACGTAAAGACGTATTGGAGATAAGCGTTCAAACAGAATTGGAACTCCGCTGAAACTGCTTTGAATCTAAAACAAACAGGATGTCACACGCGCTAAAGTCGATTGAGACAAAAGACGGTATCAAATAATCGCGTCGCGGAACGGGAGAGGAAGTTGAAGCTAAACGTGCGAGGGAGCATCATAAAAGGAATTCATACCGGTACAAGCATCCATAAAATTTACAAGTTAATTTAAGGGTTATAGAGACTGTTGCGAGTGTTTTGTTTACGAATAAACGCACGCGGTGACCATACAATGAACGAGAAATTTCTATATTACGCAAGGCCGTAGGCCGAGTGCAATATTGAAATTTCGAGTTCATTGTATGGTCGGCAACTCGACAGCAAACAATCCGAGTTGATTGAGCTTCGCTACAGGCTGTCACTTTTTATTAAACATGGCGTCCTGCGAACAAACTATGATTCTCATGATATGTCGCCAGGCAACAAGAAACCACGTCATTGATTTTTTGGGCAATCGCGTGACTAGATTTAGGCCAGTCCACGAATATTGTGTCTTAATAGGGGTTAATTACTTTTTTTGAACTTCAGTGCAAAAATTAATAGCAAATCTTTTTCTGGTAAAATGAACAAGAATTTCTTTGTTAGTTTTCAACAAACGAAAATGTTGAAGTACTTTTGAAGTGGTCTGAGTGCGTCATTTGAGTCTTAATAATTGCTTATATTACGAAGTTTCAGGCTCATTTTCAACAAAACTTCATCCTGTGTATCTATAGTAAAAGGTTTACCTGGAAATATTAATAAATATATTCGGTGTAATCAACATGTAACTAAAGTACCACCACTAACGTATTTTTTATTTCATTTAAAATTATTTGAAAAATAGTGAAGTGAAATAAAAAAAGAACTCCAACATTTCACTTCAAGATATGGTGGTGTAAGGTTAAGGTATAGAATTGGGAAACTATATGAAACTTCAAAATTGTGCAAAAATATAAGCATTAAAGGTAATGTTCAGTCGTGTAGAAAACGGTTTATTATTTGATTTTTTATGTTTCCCAATTAAAATATGACGATTGTGTTGGTATTTATGAAATATTAGTTCTCTTTGGTTTTGAATGAATTTTATGTAGAGTGTGTGTCCAGAAAAATTCGAAACATGCAAAATTCGAAATTGGTGGGAAATTAGTGTGTTACGAACAGAACCATTGCCCGAAACCGACACTCTTAAATTCCCGTAAAAGCAATGTCTACATGGCTTGAGGGTTTTGCTACGGCTAGTTTTAATTTATGACGTGTGAAAATGGACTTGACTTCATTAAAAAAACGCAATAAATAATTGCTAAATGAGCAATCGCACCGTAATGATTAGCTTCGATCTTAATACAACCAACTTGTGGTAGCGTGTGTTTCCCGTGTTTGCACACCTGTGATAGCCACTAATTCACCAATATCAACATGTTTGTTGGGGCACCATTTGAGCTGTGAAACTAGTAGAAAATGTTGAGACACGTTAATGAAACTACAATATTGTACGAAAATTGAAGGTAGTGTCCAAGCGTACTGTAACTAAATGTTTCATT